TTGGAGTGAAGGAGTCACTCATCATAAACTAAGTAGGTCTCACTATGCCCATGTGAGATATGTTTAGACCTATCTACGTGAGTGGATTCCATGGCACCAGCATTTTAAAAAAATGCACAGAAGAAAACAGTGGGCGCTTTGGAGGGAGATACAAATAAGCATGATGCTTTGAAGCTAGGTGTTGAATATTATTATATGTGTGTATATATATATATATATATATATATATTTTTAAAAGAGCTATACATAACAGAGATTCATGTTTTCACATGTAGTCCTCTTTCTGTTCTTCTTTGTACTTGGAAATGTTGGTGTTAAATTCAGAATAATAATAAAAAAATTTTTTTAAAAAGCACTGCAGTTTTCCAAGGGGAATAATACTTACTCTTCTCCTAGTCTGTTCATGATCTAATGCATTATCTATTTGCAGTGTCTCTCTGAGATACATGCGTTCATTGGCCAGCTCTAGAGGTTGTCTAGCCTACTATGTAGTATATTTTGCACAAGAAGCATCCTTTGTCTGCTTGGTTTTTCCTGTGTAGATAGTTTTCTTGAGTTCCTTTCAGGAACTTTGGATCTCATTTAGTAGGCTCCAGTGTCCCGGAATTTGATGCATTCAGCACAGCGTCACCTGCAAAATAAAGATGTCTCTTGGGCCTCACAATCTATTGGGAATTCTTCCTTTTGTACCCTGTGTTGGACCTTTTATGACAGTGGCAGACATCTTTGGCAAGCACATATCTTATTGTTGTCTGTGGATGACCAAAGCTTTTCTCCAGAGAAGATAACAGGATGGTAAAAAACTGTGAAAGAGTGGCTAGTTTGATGTCCTATATAATTCAGTGTTCGATAGATGGTTGGTGACTTATTGAAAAACTCTGTCAAATATAAGAGAAGAAATTTGTTTCCATGACCACTCTTCACATTAAAAAGTAGAACAGATAGGGGACTTCCAGAACAAAGCTTTCTGTTTCCTTCATTGGGCATAGTATGCTAACATCAGATGAGTCATTTGGGAAATTCTGTATCTGGGAAGCAGCCCCTCAAGGAGTGGGCAAAGTGCGGGAAGCCCACTGATATTCCCAGAAGATAAGAAGGTGAATGAGGAGCCTGGAAAGACAACGTGGGCCAAGTGTTTTTTCCTTTGTCCCTCTGTTGCTAACTTGAACCTAAGCAACAGAGTGGTTTGTATGCTATCCACTTCAGCCCAAATTGTCAGGGGCACGGATGCTCTGGGGAGGGTAGGATTCCAGCCCCAGGACAGATCAGGCCTCTTCTTTTGTGGCCTAGTCCAAGAAGAGTCAGTCAGTAGTCATTCTGTAATGTCAGCCCAGAAAAGGAACTTGTGAAAAGAATTTAAGAATAGCCCAGCTGCCTTCCTCAGGGGATTCCAAATCCAAACTTATTTTCATTAGTTGGTTTTATTAGTTTGCATTTTAAGTCATCTGTTTTGAAACTTGTTTGTTTGCTCTGTCCCAGCACTTGTAGGCTTCTTTCTGTTTGGGGGATATTGTTTTTCTATTGAGGGTCTGCCAGTTTTATCACTAAGCCCTGTTTCATTAGCACTGGCATGCTCTGAGCTCAGCATCAGCTCATGAGAGGAGGTCTGGCTGGGCCCAGAAGCCAGTCTTGCTTCTTTGACTGGGGGCCCTTTCAAAGTACAGAACATGAGGAATCGCCAGATTTGGGTTGTTTATTGGGTTGCCATTTGAAACACCTACTGAAAGCCTCCTGGGCTTTTGGCTTTCAACATTTATTTTCATCAAGTGACCAGGTTGGCAGTGTTTGCTGTATGGTCTGTGTCTAAAATGTGTATCTTTCGCTTGGGCACTGGTGGCTCTGTCGCTGCTTTATGCCACGTGTGATGGGTTACTCTTCAAGTTTTTTTTTTTCACTTTGCCAGCTTTCTGTCTTTATACCTCTGTATTTCCTTCTTTTGATTTCTATCCCTGAGTTCTTTGAGACTGATTTGGGGGTTGGGGTGAAGGAGTGGAGAATATGGCTTTTGTTTTATACTTCCACAAATCATACTTTATTTCTTTCCATTTCTATTTTTCATAAGGGTGCTTTTTATAAACATACTATGAATGAAAAAGGCTTCCTCTGTGCCAAGCATGGTGCTTAGCCCTAGGGATACAGATATAAAAAAAGGAAGACAAAGTTTGCTTATATTCTTTTGGGAGAGACAGTACTGAGAGAGAGTGTGTTTTGCATCTGTGAAGTCACAGGAGTAGTGAGTGGAGCCACAAGGAAGTCGATTTAACATCAGGTCCGGAAGTTAATGCTTGTGTCGATTGGATTACCAAGGTTCCCAGGCCAAGAGGTAGGGGATGTTAGGAGAGGGAGCGAGATGGCAAGACTCTGCAGCCTGGGTTGCTGAATAGCATGGGGTCTGTGAGTTTGTTGTCAGCAGAGTCACTTACCAGTCGGACAGTTCAGCTCCTGGAACTGAACTTCCAAAGCCAAGCGGATTACAGTGGTGGTGTGCAAATTATTTGGAACAAAGTAAAATAATTAAATTTATTGCCTTAATACCATAGACCTTACTACCTTTTTACGTTTAGAAAGAAAGCTATTAATGTAGTCTTTTGCTGCAGTCACTTGTTTTACTTGGTTTGGCACCAGATTTTGACACATTCTTTAATTCCTCATCATGAAATCACACTTTTATCACATTGACTATTAGGCATACCTTTGATGTTGTTGTTGTTGTTACTGTTCAGTTGTGTCTGATTCTTCATGACCCCATTTGGGGTTTTATTGGCAAAGATACTGGAGTGGTTTGCCGTTTCCTTCTCCAGCTCATTTTACAGATGAGGAAACTGAGGCAATCAGGGTTAAGTGACCTGCCCTAAGTCATATGGCTACTAAGTGTCTGAGGCTGGATTTGAACTCAGAGAGATGAGTCTTCCTGACTCCAGAACTGATACTCTATCCACTGTGCCACCTAGCTGCCCAATTTGATGAACAAGACATCTTTCTATATCTAGACTTGATTATAATCCGTAGCATTTCAATGAATAGGTTTTAAATAAGGTGAGTTCCTAAGTCATTGGAGTGTGTTTACCTCTATCTCTTGTGTCCATTTCTTAGCCTCGAAATGTAGAATGGTTGCAGCCGTCTCTTTGGGAATTTCTGTAATTGCGAAACAGTTTGGCTTCTTAGTATATATTTATCAGAGTTCACCATACCTTCAAACGGGACAAGACTTCCCAGCCTACTAGATGTAAAAAAAAAAAATTCCTCAAATTTTTTGAGGGTGTTGCAGGTTTTATAGTCTGATGAAGATTCCCAGATCTTACAGGTTCACCTGTCCCTCTTCTAATGAAAATCTTGGTATTGTTTTGAATGGAAAAAGAACTTTAATAATAAAAGTTATCTTTTTCCAATCTTCAGTACTCTTGTCATTTTATTATGTTGCCCATGGCAAATATTTTTTTCTTTATAATAAGGGTTAGCAGCTGTTTGGTTTTGTTTTTTTGTTTTTTTAAACTTAGCTCACTGTTTTTCCAGTTTCAAGGAGACAATACAGTATTGTAGAGAAATCACTTAACTCCTCCAGCAGCCAAGACCTTCTGAAAGTTTTTGCTTATTGTCTGAGGATGAATTAGGCAGTTTTGCAAGTTTGTCATTTCCTGGTGTTTTTCATTTTTGGTTGATTTGCTTTGCACACTGTACATTGTATGTGGTACACTGTAAAACTTATCCTGTTCCATTATGGACTTGAATAATCACTTAAAAGCTTACCTTCACTCAGAGCTAATAGTCACATAAAAAATCTCTAAATCACTATTGATTGGAGAAATGTATATTAAAACTACCCTGAGATACCACCAGTATCAGATTGACTAACACGACAGAAAAGGAAAATGACAAATGCTGGAAGGGATGTGGAAAAAATAGGGTCACTAATGCACTATTGGTGGAGTCGTGAACTAGTCCAACTATTCTGGAGAACAATTTGGAACTACATCCAAAGGGCTATAAAACTATACCCTTTGACCCAGCAGTACCGCTACTGGGTCTGTACCCCAAAGAGATTAAAAAAAAACAAAAAGGGAAAGGACTTATATGTACAAAAATATTTATAGCACCTCTTTTTGGGATGGCAAAGAATTGGAAATTGAGGGAATAGCCATCAATTGGGGGATGGCCAAACAAGCTGTGGCATATGATTGTGATATAATGCTATTGTACTTGCATGAAGAGTTCCTCATTTCATTAGCTTGCCATACTTTGGTATTATTTAACTGTTATTGCAGCAAGCTTTGTATCATTGTAATAGAGCCATAATAATGTTGTATAGACCTCTTTCTGGACTACAGTGTTTCATACACTAAATGCTACAAGTTCGGCTATCAAATAGATAAACTATGTTAATCAAGTATTATCTGTGAGAATTTTCATGGGCCACTTTTAAATTTCATTGCAGCTTAGATTGAATTGTGACAACGAATTTTCATTCTCTTAATTTCTTTCTGAATTCCCTTCAATGACTGGTTAAAGCTGAGTTATTTCTGCATATAAAGAAAAAGTTAGAAATTCATTTGATAACAAGTACACTTAGAAGTGAGCAATTGAAAAAATCTAGTCTGTATATTAAAATTATGCCTCAATCTAAGATTTTAAAAGAAAAAAAAGAATATGATTGTGCTGTAAGAAATGATGAGCAGGATGGTTTCAGAAAAACTCAGGAAGTCTTACATGAACCGATGCAAAGTGAAGTGAGCAGAACCAGGAGAACATGGTACATTATATCTAATTATTTAATTGTTACATTTGAATTTAAATATAATTCTGCTTATTAAGAGTTCTTAGAATCATTACTCATTTTCCTGTATTAATCTGTTGATTAGCTCTGGATATTGGTTTTGTGTTTAATGAAATGACCAAAAGAATGGCCTTAGTTTTCTTTGTTATGTTTTTGAAGACTTCCTTATCAAATTGATTAGAGGAGATCTCGTGATTATAATTACCTGTTGTTTCTGCTTCCTTGACAGAATGACAGGGAGAGAATTCTTCTCTCGTTTTCCAGCACTTTATCCCTTCCTTCTCAAGCAACTAGAAGTTGTGGCCAATACTGTGGATAGGTAAGAAAAGAAAAGAGTGTGTGTGTGTGTGTGTGTGTGTGTGTGTGTGTGTGTGTGTTCATGCATGTGCGCATATGTGTTTTGGAAGGGGTGGAGAGGGAGATGAAGTGGAGGAAGTGAGTTATTTTGTTAAATGGTCTCCCTTTTGAGGGAAATACTACAAAATCAGATTCTGAATTTCACTTTTAGTGCCCGTGCTGCATTAAAAAAAAAAAAAATCCATCAACCATGTAGTACTGAATTTGGATTCAGAGGACCAGGGTTCAAATCAAGACTCTGTGACTTACTTCCTTTCTGACCTCAGTCAAATCACTTGATGAAATGGGCCTTTGTTTCCTCATTTATAAAATCAGGGAGTTAGACAAGATATCTCTAAAGTGTCTTCTTACCCTGTATCCTATCAATGCTCCTATGTATTGTACACTACCTCATGGAAATAGGTATATTAACATAAATTTTTGTGTAAGTCAGTTATTTAGGGTAAACTTAGTCTTATATACTAATTGTAATAAATGAATTTGCTTTTTAAAAGAATTACTTGGTCAACTTTTTCTGTAAGCCCAAGATTGTTTTTAATTTAAGCAACTGTCCCCGACATATCTGAATCCTAAGAATCTATAAGCAGTATGGAGTTTGCTTAATACAGAACACATCTGCATCTAATTGTGTTTTAATTTCCACAAGTTCAAGTGGTGGGGCATTGACACTGACATAGCTCAAAACAACATGTGGGCTAATCAGATAACTTGTGCTCCCAAGTAGGAAAGCTCTGTCTAGGTGAGCAAAGGGGAGATGTAGCCAAGAAGGAAGAAAGACAGGTCCATATACTGTGGCAACAGAACACAACAGATTACATGCTAAACCTTCGTTGCCTATTTCTACGTGCTATGTTAGCAAGATCACTTTAGACTATGTATTTGTTAAATTTGTCATGTGTTTCCAAATCCTATAAACATCAACGCAAAAAACACCGAAAAACAAAACTGAACTTGAGGCAAGGTGTCTATTGTGGGGGAGAAAACTTATCAGAGAGTTCAGTTATGCTTTTGTTTAGAATTTGTTCCCATGAGCTGATTGGTTTTCTGCGAAGAGCATCTAGCTCTTAGCAAGTGATAATGTACTTGTATTTTCACAAATATATTTGAATTTTAGGAACCAAGGAATCATGTTCATCTAAGATCATACCTGTGAATAGTTGGAGTGAATATAGAATATCCTAATGGACTCAATTATTAGCTTTGAGAATTAGGTTGTAAGCATAAGTTTAATTCCATAAGCCACACATAAAGTAATGGTAATAAAAATAGTTGATATTTATGTATTGCTTTAAAGTTTTCAAAGTATTTTACAAATGCTTTTCCACAAACAAGTAACTCTGTTTTCCAATTCTAGGCATTTTCTCTGGCTATCCCCTATGCCTCAAATGCCCTCCCTCCTCATCTTCTCCTACTTCCTTTAAGTACCATCTAAAATCATACCTTCTGTAGGAAACTTTTCCCAATCTCTCTTAATCCTAGTACCTTCCCTCTGTGGTTTATTTTCAATTTATTCTGTGTTTGGCATGTTTGTACATCATTGTTTGCACTTTTTTCTTCTCTACCTTATAGTGTGAGCTCCTTGAGAAAGAGGACCGGCATTTACCTTTCTTTGCATCCCCAGTGCTTAGCACAGTGCCTGGCACAAAGTAGGTACTTGATAAATGTATACTGACTGACTGATCCTCACAACCATCCTATGAGATATAGCCCCATTTTACAGAGGGGGAAACTGAGGCTGAGAAAGATTAAATCTTTTACCTACTAGTAAGCCTCTGAGACAGGATTCAAACTGAGTTCTCTCTGAATCCCAGTTCAGGTCTCTATTCACTCTATCCCAGAACAGCTATATTTCATATATCCTTATACTAATTCACTGAATATTTATTAAGGTCTACCATATGGAAGGCACTGTGCCAGGTATTGAGGGAAATAAAAAAGTGAATAAGACATAGTTTCTGCTCTCAAAGAGTTTGTCATGTAGGACTCTAGATGAAGATAAAGCATGTTCACAAAACAGAGTGAGGTAAGTTTATGAGAGAGGTGTAAACAAAATGGGATGAAAATTCATCTATTAAAAATACATACTTACATACATTATGTATTAAACAGTTTATATTCTAAAATATGCTTGAATGCAGCAGACCACTTCACAAAGTTGACATATCTCACGGCACATTGATTTGGACCATATTTAGAAGTATTTAGTTTTCCTAATTTTTTTTCCTGTAGTGACAGCAGTGAATTGAAACTTCACCCTAACCTGTTTCTCTTGCTGTTGATCCTGGGAAGACTGTACCCTTCCCCTATGGACGGTGCTTCCTCAACACTCAGCATGGCGCCCTTTGTCCCCTTCATCAGGAGGTAAGGTCCATACTTCATTGTGGTACTTAAGGGGGGGCCAGTAGGATTTACTTTGATCTTATTTTACAGATATTACAGTTATCCCTTCCACATTATTAGTTTCCCTATTGCAGTTTTGATATATTGTGGGTCAGCATAAGAAATTAGATGGGAATTTTTTGGGAGTTTTGCAGAAGCTACAGACAACATGCAAAGGCCAACGTAAAAGACAAGCAAAGGAGTAGTGGGCATTTTATCCCAGAGTTAGTAAGGACCCTTTGGAGTTTGAATAGGGGAGTCACTTTTGCTCACTCCTTTTGGAGTAAAATTTGGAACCAATAAAACTCTATTCTTGTCCCAGATCCTAAGAATAATAGGCTGTGTGATGTTGAGTAAGTGGCTGAGATTCAGAAGGTTTCAGCCTTTTCATTTTTTAAATCAATGTAACAGTACGTGTCTTGTTGGACAAGTAGGGAGTGTTTGAAGGGCCATGATGATAATAGTTATTATTCTTATTTGGGGACACTTAGGTAGTGCAGTGGATAGAGTGCTGGACCTGCAGTCAAGAAGACTCATTTTCCTGAGTTCAAATCTGGCCTCCAACATTTACTAGCTGTGTGACCCTGGGCAAGTCACTTAACCCTGTTTGCCTCAGTTTCCTCATCTGTAAAATGATCTGGAGAAGGAAATAGTAAATCACTCCAGTATATCTGCCAAGCAAATCCCAAATGGGGTCATAGAGAGTCAGACATGACCAAACAACAACAACAAATTCTTATTTTTAAGGGAATGGTGGTAATGGTCATTCGGGAGTAATTAAGGGTTTGGCTACCTCTTAGGAAATTTTAGAAGTAGAGAAAAAGAGGGATAGGAATTAAAATAAGACTTTGTGGACAGAGAGAAATAGAAAAAGATGAGTTTCTTTTGATGTATTTATTCCATATATGGTATTCTTTTTATTCCCTGAGGGGTTTAGAAAGTACAGTGCCTATCAGTGTGGTACATAACTGTAGGATTCCAGACCTCCACAAATGAACCCCTAAAGCTAATGAAAACGTCTTGTGTAGCTTTGAGGAAGCTCCCACTAGATCTTGGAGTTGCTAACATCCTGATTAGCCTTCTGCTACTCTTATGTTTACACAGCTGACCAAAGCTGAATGGGGCCTGGGACAGAAGGATCAGAGTATCAAGCCAAAGGGCATGCCTTCTCTTAATCATCTCTGTAGTTTCCTGGGCTTTGCCTTCTGGTTTCATGTAGCTACCTCTTAGGTGTCTGATTATGAGAAATCATTAAAAAATGAAATCGTAGGCAAGTGGCTGCTGTCACTCTTTGCTGGATGCATTGCCCAACCTCGTCAGCATCATCTGTGCTTGCATCTCGGATGACTCATTCACCTGGCTTATTGGTTTTTGCTTCCCAAAGGGCAAGTAATGTCTGAGGCCCACTTGCTCAGCACTGGGTGATTCATTTTAGGAATGAGAGTGGCAAATCTTACTTGGAGGTTCCCCTTATTAAAACATGTACTTTCATTATTAACTAACAAATAAAAAAATAAAAAACACCAGCTAAGTAAAATCACAAAGGGAAGCATGGAAAAAAATGTGTGTACAGTCACAATGGCATGGAACAAAGATAAGAATTAGAACATTCTATTAGTTTATGTTAAGAACATCTAATTCATGGAAGCCTTTTACTAACCATCCATAAATGTAAACACAGGACAGTGCATCCCATGTGCCAGAAATGCATACTTAATTGAAAGTACCTGTTACATGTAATCATTCCTATTTTATGAGTATTCAGAATACCCAAACTCTCTCCTCATCCTCCAAAAAGAAAACTCCATTATTAGTGATAATAATTATAGTTTATATTTATATAGAACTTAATATATGCCAAGCTCTGTCCTAAGTACTTTACAATTATTATCTCATTTGATTCTCACAACAATTCTGGGAGGTAGGTGCTGTTGTTAAACCTATTTTACAGATGAGTAAACAGAGGTTAAGTAATTTACCCAGGGTGTCATAGCTAGTATGTGTCTGAGGTATGATTTGAACTCATGTCTTCCGGACTTCAGGGACTGCATTCCATCCTCTGCACCATTGCTCTGTCATACATTAGGGTACCATGTTTCAGAGTTACATGCTATACTGCAACTCAACTTCTCATTGAATTATTTTAAAAAATTAAAACCTATAATTTAAGTGAAAAGTATATTAATTTTAGTAAAAAGACTTCCCTTTATAACTACCCTTGATGGCCTTAGAAATCATCTAATCCACCCCCACCCCAAGCCCATTCATTTTGCACATAAGGAAACTGAGGCTCAGATAGGTAAGGGACATGGCTGAGGTCACATAGGTAGTATTAGACTTAGAATTTGAACCTCAGTCATGTGACTCCAAATCCAGGGCCCTTTTCACTATAACAATGGCTTTCCTTTTGAGAAAAGTTCCCTAGAGTCCAGACAAAAGCGGAATTACAGTTGATTACCTAGTCAACAGACATTGATTTATTGTGTCCATTGTGTGCTGACTGTCATATAATCAATATGAGCATTGTAGCAGAAGCGTGAAAGAAATATTAGTCACATTAGCTCCTGTCCTCTGAGAACTTTTGATCTACCTGAGGATATTAAATGTACACATAAGAAATAATCATCTTTACTTACAAAAAAAAAAACAAACAAAACAAAATGGTAGAAACAAGTTCAAAAGAATAAGAAACTGAGGTTTTTCATATGAAGGAAATCCAGAGGGAAGATAATTCATGCCTGTTGGTCATGGAAGGCACAGAGGAAGCCAGCTTTGATTTTGGTTTCTCAAAAAGCTTTTTAGTAATGAAAAAATGAGGTGGAAGAGCATTGTTTATTGAGAGAAGAGAGAGCACACGAGTCTGTAGCATCGTCAGAAAGTTCTTACATAGGCGTTAAAGTTTGATACTAGAAGAAAACCCTTATCGAGAGTTTCACAGTTAACAAAAGGAACTTGACTTGACAGAGAAGGATATTCAGTAAGGATGCTTTGTTGATTCAGCTTCTGGCTTGCCTATGGCAGTCCACAGGTCAAGTATCAGGAAGGAGCGAAACCCCTTGTGGCTTTTTGTGTTCAGCTAATCAGGAGGGGATGTCAGCAACTCGAGCGAGCTTTGTTCCCTGAGCTAGTTAAGTCTCCAGGATGATTGCAGTACCTTTTGAAGAAAAGAACTGGACCAGTCCACATGGATGGGGCTTGGGCAGTTAGTACTCTGACCACTTGAATAATTAGCTCATCCATGTGAGCCAAATTGCCTTTTTCAAGTCATCAGTAACTTTTAGCCTCCTGAAAGAGATAGCAATCTGAGTAACTATGTGAGGTCTTTACACTCTTTATTCACCTAATCTAGGTGAGCAGTTGACATCTAGTAGAGAGTGTGTTAGTAATATACTGATGCACTCTACTAAAAGGTAATACTTCTTATCTACCCAGAGATAAATAAGATATAATCTTTACCTTTTTTTTTTTTCCTCTCACAATAGTGGAGGTGTATTGGGTTAAAGTATGAACTCTTTCAAGCCTAGTTCCCCTTTTGGACCAACAGCATACACTTCTGTCCAGGGTTATAGGGACATTCCATGACCATTGAGCATAGCAAAATTAGCCAGCCTACATGGTGATTGAATCTATGGTCTCAGCCACCGTGTTCTAACCAGCTGAGCTAACTGCCTACAGATGTGAGTTAGTATATGAGATATGGTTCCTTTGAGGTGCATCATGTGTGAAGAGAAATTGCATGAGAGCATCTGGCTATCATACTGAGAGGCTCCATGATTTGCTTCATCTGAGTATACAATAATTGATGATGTTTGATTTTTTTTTGACCTAGGATTTATATATAATGCAATTTGCTGCTCATGACCTACACGCAGATACCACACACATGTACATAAGTGTACATAGACACCAAGCAGCAGCTTCCTGGTGAATTTTAGTTTCAGATTTCTGATTTTTAATTCTGTTTTTAACTTTCTTTGCCCCACACTTCTTGGGAAGATTTGAATTGCTGTTTCTGGCCAACGATTAGGGAAAGGTGGGGACCAATTCTCTATCTTGTCTCAGAAGTATTCTGTCTCAGGATAGACTGGGATGCCGCCTTGAGTGAAGAATAAATTGAATTCTGATGAACAGAAGACTTAGTCACATAGGAGAGTGTGAAAGATGGAATATGTAGATCTTTCCCCCATTTTTTTGACTTTCTAGTCAGCTTCCCTATGTCAGTCAGTGAGCAGGTTTTTATTGAAGACTTACCATTTAACCTCTACTGTGGTAGTTGAGGGAAGAGTACTACCAGGAATAGTAGACAGTGTAAACAGTATCCAACAGGATATAAGTCATGGAAAATTACCTCTTTGGAGGTAATTAATGTTTCTAGACAAACTTGCCTCCTAGCCAAACCTGAATACTCAACACAAATCCCATCTTTTCCAAGAAGCTTTTGCTGATTCTCCTAGTCTGTAATGACTTTCCCTTCCTTCCCTCTCCACTGAACTCAGAGCACATGTTGTCTTGTAGGTCTCTGTTGCTCCTATTCTGTATTATTTTGTACTGTATTTATCAGTTTGTTCATGTGATATATCACCTTTTAGACAGTAAGCTCCATGAAGGCAAGAAATTGAAGCTTTCCATCTCCCCCAGCCCCTAGTACATTGTCCTGTCTGTGAGAAGTGCTTAGATATTTACTGAATTCTAGAAAACTTCATGTATGTAGGTGAACAAATGGATTACAAAGTATATACTTCCTATTCATTGAAATTTTAAAAATAAATCTCAGTGGAATGTAGACTCCTAGGGCAAGGTCTGTGTCATTTTTCATTTTTGCATCTCCAGCTGATAGTAGGTGTTAAATATTTCTTGCGTTTCATCCCTGTTGTGCTAGGAGGCATCGTAGTGAACTCAATAAACAGTAGGCATATCCACAGTGTTGGGTAGGTTGTGTTTTGTTTTTGTGTGATAATTTATGTAGTTGGGGCTTTTGGACA